AAGCTTGACTCGTGGGCCAAGATCGAAGTTTCCCGTGCGGGAAACGTTGATAAACTGCTTCTTTGTAAGGGATACTGCCTAATGATATAAGTTTCTTCAGTGCATGGACAATATCTCTGGTAAGCTTGACTAGTGGGGCAAGATCGAAGTTTCCCGCGCGGGAAACGTTGACATCGGCTCGGTAGTTAATATTATACGGCAGATATCGGCAGGGTACTGCTAATACTACTTTTTGGCAGTATTTCTGATGTTATGGATTATCACGTTTCAAGCATCGAGGAATGCGAATACCCAACTAATTCTAACCAACAATTAATTTTTTCTTGCTATTTGATCCTTATCTTATGAATTGTTGATCATACGTAAGTTTTGATAGTAATAAAATATTTCCCGCTTAATTTTATCGACTAGGTACCAATTTTAGAATGAATTATGCCTCAACACAGGCTTAAAAGGGGTGTAAAATGTCAAATTGTCACTTTGTATATACATATACATATGTGTGTAAGTGTGTGCGCGCACGCATGTGTGTGTAGGTGTAAGAAAATGTAGCTTATTTAGTTTGAATTTAGTGTGCCATTTCCGCACTCAAAGAATACAGTCGTAAGGGGATAAGAGAACGACAAATGTTGAGTTAGTACGTGGCCCAATAGAAGCACAGAAAGTGTATACGAAAGGCTGCCACGTAAAGGCACTACGTAGCTGCTTATACCAATGCGCAGCTCAGCAGTGCAGACTCAGAGACAGAATAAAATACAATGCAGTTTAAAAGTGGATAAAGAATAAACATTAATTGTCGTTTTCTTTTTACAGGTAAGATCGCGTATAACATCCATGATTTGCAAATAGTGCATAGAGGGAGAATAAAATAAAATTCACTTTACTTGCAGAGAAACATACTGTGTTTATTAATTAATAAAATTTAACTTCCTTATACAACGACAAATTTTGATAATAGAAAACTGCAGCAATGAACAAATTGTTGTTTGTAGTTGCAGTAAAAGAGGCGGATGACCAAAAAAGTAATACAATGTGCATAGACTCAATTGAAACGGAGGATGAAAAAAGTTCATAGTTCTATCGGAATTACAACATATTGTGTGGCATGAAGAATTTGAGAAAACATTAACAAGAAAATGGGAAAAAATTTGAATCAAGATGACAAGTAACTTTAAAAAAGTGTTCATGGACGAATTGGGTATAATACAGTTAGACAATAAATACTTAGAGAAAACGAAAGGAAAAAAAGAACAAACGAAAATTCAAAAATTAATTGAAATAATTAAAAAATTAATCGAGTCTTTAAAATAATAATAAGATAAAAAAGATAAAACAAAAAGAATAAGATAAATAGTGATGACGTGGAAAATAGTATAGATCTATTCAACGAGGTAAGAAAATATGAAGACATGATAAATAATAACAGTTATTACTATAGATGAACAAGAGATGATGAGGTAGATCAAACAAAAAAAAATTAAGAAAAGAATCCGTGCAAAATATGTGAGAGCTCTTATAAAAGTATAAGATACCATTCTCAAGAGATACGTTGGTTTAAAACAATAGAACTAAAGTGTAAATTTTCTATTAAACAAGAAACTAGAAATAAAAGGAGTATACGATTATGGCTGACAAGTATCGTTAATAAACTCAAGATTACTAAAAATAAATAGAAAGAAGAAGATTTTAACAATTTTATTCAAAATGAAAATTTAGAAAGAGTGACTCTAAAAATAGCTCGAAATTAGCCCGTTTTTGCAACCTCGAGAATCGTCTAAATTGTTTATCAAATCATTGTTTATCGTTTGAATATTCACCTGGTAAATTTTTAAGAGGGGATCAGCTTTAGTTTCTTAGATATAAGAGGTAGAAGATATTAAAATACTACTAATGACCGTATAAATCAGGTTTACAGTGCGTCTCACAAAATAAAAAGTGTTTTCGCGTAAAACCACTATATTATTATGTTTCTTGGGTCGCTGATTCCAAATCCGAGGTTAGATGACCTTCTTAATGGATGGTTCAATGTCATTTGAAGGTCACATCTGAATGAATCGTAAAAAAACTCTAAAATCACCTCCAGATAAGTTTTTATAGTCGCTGATTACGAATCTGAAGTCAGGTGTGCAAAATTTAATATGCCTAATCAATAATTTCTTTAGAAATAATCGGAACAAAATATTTTTTTAACGTCATAAAGTACAAAGCTTTATTTTTCAATAGTTATAGAGACATTCGATATATCTGGGTTAGGACCCTTTATGACATTATATTGACTGTATCCCAAGTAACATACACTGAAAGAAGGTCGCGACTGCAGGTACCTACACACCAGCGACCTCATGCGTGCTCTCAATTAGCGGCAGCAGAGCTCGCGGATTTTGCACGCGCGACGTCCCGTGCCAGGTGGTACCTGCAACCTCGAAGGCCGCGTGCTCTGCTATCCCTTGAAGCTCGTAATATAGCGTTGCCCCATGCCTATAGTCTCGTAGTAGCAGCAGCGTTGCATCAGCAACTTGTATAAGCTCGTGCATGCTTTCGCGCACATACGTATTTACTGCGTTTGATAATATATATTGGTGTGTACAAACAAAAGAGCAGCAGTTGCTGATTACATTACTCTTCGTACCATCGATTGTGTTGAAATAAAATTGATCTTCTTTTCTAGCATTAAACAAGTGTGTACGAGAAACATTCTACTTACGTTAAACGGGCCTGCCGCGATTTGATTGTTCATAAAACTACTGCAGATATAATTATTTGTAATATTTTAATGATTTATGTATTTCGTAAACCGCATAACGCTTAAAAAACAGTCAGGTTAATGATAATCAATATTCTAAGATATGCATAGCACGTAATATGTATGATGTTGTTATGATTATAAATTATAAATTATTTCTGATATCAATATAAACTTCGTTACTTTTCTTTAATTTATTATTCCCCCCCATTATTGCCTTAGGCAGCAAAAACAGAGAAACAAAAAACTTTTATTATAAAAAAAGTATACTTTCATTTTCATAACATATTCAAGTGAGGATGTATATATAGAGCAACTTTGCGGTTTAAAAAAATCATATAGTAAAACAGAAGATTAATCACATGAAACCATAATATTGCAGAGCCTCAAGCAGTAAAGAGTGAATAGGTATACAGGTACCCCTTGACTTGATTCATCGCGCGTGCTAAAGTCACGAGCTCTGCTGTGGCTAATCGAGTGCACGCATTAAGCCGCTGGTGTATGGGTATCTCATAACGCGACTTTCTTATCGGCTGTGCGGTAGCTGTTACTATTAAGTGTATAGACATCGTACGTGCGCCCATCGTACAGCATGGGCCAATAATCCGCGGTAGCTGCTGCCGCTAGAGACTTGACAAGTAATGCTACAGTATAAGAAGCAGACTACGTGCGCTCAGAGGCAGCGGAGCTCGCGATCTTCTTTCAGTGTATAATAGTAGCAATGTGGCTGCAGCATCCAACTGTCCATGAACCACTCTCACATGCGCAAAAATATTCGACGATAGCCAGTCTACCTCTCTTAGCTCGATCAACAAGTACAAAAATATAATGGCTTTTTCCACTTCTATAGCGAGATTCCATGCATATGTGCTTTCACGAGCAGTGGATCGATAACGTTATTGTCATACTTAGAAAAATCCAAGCCTGCGGTTCTATGTCTTGCGTTAGGATTGAATTTCTGTCCTAAAAATATATCTTCCGCCACATATTCGGCCTAGTATGACATGGCATTTTTTAATTGATAAGGGCCTAGGCAAACTTTATACAGATCGTCCAATAAAAGCTGAGGAAACTGCATTAGCGAATTATTTTCTTCATTATCCAAAGAAGTGAAAGCAGTGTCTTTGAATGGAACTCTTTGTTGAGAAAGATTCAGATCAGTGACAACTACTTTCAATTTATTCGGTACATTCAATCTTTATTTTATAGTTTTCCCAACATTTGCATATTTATCATCAGATAGAATTGGTCTGTGGAATAAATTAAATAACGCGCAAGCAATTAACAGGTAATCAAAGTCATAGGACAGTGTGGCATTATAAGCTGATACAGCAAGCAACTTGAATTTCTTTTTAAGTCGCCCAAATACTTGCTCAACTATCCATCGCACCTTCGTAACAAACCTGGCCAGATTAGCTTCATACGTATCGCGTTCTCCAGTTCCAGGAATATATGCTCTAAGCTTTTTTTCATCTTTTGAAAAGTCCATTACATCTCTAAATCCATTATCGACTAAGACAACATCATTTTTACGAAGCATGGACAATAGCTCATCATATCTTTGAAAGCAACCATTTAAAATCTGTGCATCGTTATGGTTCGTATTAAAAGGACCCAAGACAAACAGTATAAATCCGTTTGGCGTGCATCCCACCATGGGTTTAACAAGTAAGTATTTCTTTTGCTCACTCCACAACTGCTTTTGACCAGCGAAAATTTTTGGTTTTTCAGCTATCCGATAAGTGGCATCAAAAATAATATAACCCTTATCTTTAGGTATATCGAAAAATTCTTTTGCCAATGGAGTGTTATTAACTATTATGGTCTCACGATTGGGAATGTTGAGGAAGTAAGGAACCAAAATTTGAATTAAATAATTTCTTGCTTTTTCTAAACGGTTAGAAATTGATAAAATACTTTGGTACCCAAAAAGATAAGCCAATTGATCATGTGAAAGTGCAGTAAGAATTTTACACAAAAGAATAGCTACATCTTTTGATCCACAGTTCTTAGTGAATTCACATATTTTATTGAATTTATTTTTTTCAAATCCGAAAAAAGACTTAAAAGGTCCATCTGCCATAGTCTCAAGGGTATTGATATCGAATGTACTACCCACATTTTTATTTTGGTTCTGATAGTATTCGAACATGATATCGCTTACAAACTTTTGCTCCGTCGGTGATACTTCTTCAAATATTTTTTTCACTTAAGGCCAATAATCGACATCATTGAAATGTTCAGAGCACATACGGGCATGAGGCTCAACAAAGAACTTATAATTTATCAAAAGGAGCTCACATTTATTGCTAGGAATAGCAGTAAATTTTGATGGGTTCTTACACCCAAATGTACATCGATTATGTGAGCTTAAGCTTTTTCTATAAATGGACAGATCTGGCAACGTAGAGTAAGTTTGAATGCCAGAATTTTTTTGAACACAGTCGTAGCACAATCTGCATATTTTGCTGTCCACAGGAATTGTTTCTATAGCTTCAAGTTTTCGTTTTCTAGTATTATAAATAGTTCTCAATTATTGATTGCCGATAAGTTCAGATTGTTGACACAAAAAAATTTTTCATCCTTTGATTCCTTTTTATGCTCACAGCCAAGATGTGTCAAAGAGTAAGACATTTTTTAAAATGAATCGTAGACTGCAAATAATGTAAAAACATATCGGGAAGATAAATTAAAAGGATGATTAGTTAATTACAATAAAAAAACAAAAGTCTTTGACTATAGTACCTGTATATATAGTTAATACTTGTTAGTAGTATAATTCGTACATGTTAACAGGTTAGCTTTAATAACTTTAATAATGTATGTCAGGAGCCCATAAGATCAACTCTCATATGAAAAAAGATTATGGATCTTAATAAATACACATTTCTGTATAAAACTATTCTCAAAGTCAAATATAGAGAAGCTGAGGCTCAAATCATCTAAAACACTAATTATTGGCTTTAATTAAAAAGGATTCTGAATATTAACATTTAGGTCTGTATACAGAAAATTGAAGAGGCGAGTAAATAAATGTCAATGTTAAAATTAACTCCTGTACAAAAAAAATTAACGAGACACATTCTTTGACTAACACAATATTCATTATAAATCAAGTTCATCTTTAGCTGTGATGATTGCAATCGATTGCTCTATGAATCTATAATTAATTGTTGATTAGAATCATGTACTATACGCAATTGCAAAAGTTGCAGCCATGAGAATCAGTATTAGAATCTAGTGTATTCTAGATTTGGGAATTCCAATCAGACTCAACCTTCAAATGACCTTGAACAATCCGTTAAGAAGGTCATCTGACCTCAGATTTGGAATCAGTGACCTAAAAAACATAATAATATAGTGGTTTGGTAAGCTACGTGAAAACACTTTTTTTTGTGAGACTCACTGTCAACCAGATTTATACGGTAATTAGTAATATTTCAATATTTTCTACCACGTATATCTAAGAACCCAAAGCTGATCCCCTCCTAAAAATTTACCAGGTGCATGTTAAAACGATAAACAATGATTTGATAAACAATTCGGGACGATTCTCGAGGTTGCAAAAACGGGCTATTTTTGGAGTCTCTCTTTTACAAAGAAAAGAAGAAAAACCAACATTATTCTCGGTAGATTTTAATGAGTATATAAACGAAGGGGACTTTTAAATTCAAACTGATTATTTGAGAGAAAAAGAAAAAAATTTGATGGAAAAAAACATAAAAGATTTCAAAACAGTATTCGTAAGAGATAAATATGATACAGTAACAGTGAAAGATTATGAAGCACTCATAGATTTTGTAGTAGACAAGAACTGTAGTAAAAGGCCATATAGATGTACAATAGAAGACGAAAAAGAAATTGAGCAGCAAGTGGCAAATTTACTAGAGAAAAATTTAATTCAGGAATCTTATAGCCCATTTGCTGCTTCGGTAACACTTGCATTCAAAAAAGATAGAGAGAAATAATACAGGCTCGGTATAGATTTCTAAGATCTGAATAAGATCATTCTACCACAAGCACAACCGTTCTCTCTAACAGATGACTTAATAATAAAAACAAGAAACTGCGAACACTTGACAACACTGAATATGAACTCAGCTTTCTTATCGATCTCTTTACGAATTAAAGACAGAAAAAAAACAGGATTGATTACTCAGGACGAACACTTTCAATGGACATGCTTGCCATTTGGACTGAAAATGTCCCCAGCTATTTTTTGAAGGATCCTAAGTAACATATTAAGAAAATACAGATTTACAACATTCTCAGTGAACTATATTGACAATATTTTAATAGTCTGATCATTTTTTGAAGAACATATAGAACACATAAGACAAGTTTTAGAAACAATAATGAAAGAAGGATTAAGGTTAAAATTCAAGAAATGTGCACTTGCTTCAGACTCTATGAAATACCTTGGCCACATAATACAAAATAACTCAGTAAGGCCAATAAAAGATAATTTATTCTTCATACTAAATTTTCCAAAATAAAAAACACAAAAGAATATAAGACAATTTTTAGCAAACATACATTTCTACCATCGATATATACCAATGAGTGCAATTGAATTGGAATCACAACATAACCTTCTAAGAAAGAATGAAAAGTTTGTATGGTCTGAACAATGTGAGAACGCCTTCGAAAAGATAAGGAAATTGTTATGTTCTCAACCAATCTTACAAATATTTGACCCGAAACTCCCAATAAAAATATACGTAGACGCATCGATAGAGGGTATTGGAGCAATAGTGAAACAAACACAACTAGATGGAAAGGATAAACCAGTGGCATATTTAAAAAAAAAGTATACAAAATCCAAAAAAGAAAAAAAGCCATTTATCCGGAGTGTTAAGCTGTAAAGGAAGCATTGAAATACTGGCAATACTGGCTTATAAGAAGGCACTTCATGGTTTATTCATATCATAAACCATTAGAAAAACTCATCATCAAAGCGAGGACTAACGAAGAACTAGTTGACATACTTTTTATCGCAATACGATTATAAAATAAAATATATACCAGGCAAAGAAAACATTGAAGCTGACTGCTTAAGCTGAGATCGAGTATTAGAGTCCAAAGAATATAACAACAACGAGTTACTTAAGATAATATATTAAATAAGATTAAAGGACATAATATAAGACCAAGAGACGAATGAGGACATAAAGAAAAATAACCAAAGCTTCGAGAAAAAAAAAATATCTAGTATGAAAATGTTAAGAAATAAAAAAAAACCATACTGTCAGATGTATTTAGCAAAAACCTTATAAAATAAGTGCACTAAAGTTGGTGCCACATGGACATCAGACAGATGCAAGAGAAAATTGGCTCGTAATGCACTACAAGAAAATCAACAAAAAATACATAAAAAATATGTAAAGAATGCGAAACATGCATAAAGAATAAAATTAGAGGACGAGAAAAATGTGGACTGATGCCATACCTTGGACCAGCAACGAGACTATTCGAGATAGTATAAATAGACACTATAAGCGGCTTTGGAGCATCTTGATCAACAAAAAAATATTTACACCGGCTGGTGGACCATTTTACGAAATATGCTTTTATTTTAACGTCAAAGACGCAAAGCGTAAGTGATCTCATGAAACTGACACAAAAGTTGTTTGAAAATAATCATATCGAAGTGATTCTTACAGATGAGTATCAAGGAATGAGTCCTAAAGAATTTAAATAACTCCTAATAGATAGAAACATACAACTCATTTTTACAGCAGTTAATGCACCCTTTTTGAATGGATTTAACGAAAGATTGAACCAAACGAAAGTAAATAAGTTAAGATGCAGAATAAATGAACATAATAATAAAAATCGTGGACAACAATAGCACAAGAATGTATGGAAAAATATAGTAATACAAAACACTCAGTAACTGGTTACGCACCAAAATATCTATTATATGGTACGGATATAAAACTCTCACCAGATAAACTAAAAAATAATGAAAAAGTGGATAACCAGGATTAAAAATTAGCAGTCAAAAACGTCGATTAAAAACTGCAAAGATCGCACATTTTATGTAGGAGATAAAGTCTATATTGAGAACGGTAATAAATTAATCAGGGAAAAACCTGGACTCTTGAAGAATCAGACCCTTTGAAATAACAAAGAAGTTATTAATTACGTTCTATGAGATAAACACAGGAAAAAGGAAAGCTGAGATAAATTATTTTCATACAACAAAACTAATACCGATTTCAAGACAGATTGACAGATAAAAGAAAAGTTGTCCACAACTTTAACCCTAAGAAAGAAGATATAAAGAAAATGTAGTTTCTTTAATTTGAATTTAGCGCGCCATATGCGCACTCAAAGAATAAAATCGTAAGAAGATAAAAGAACAACAAACGTAGAGTTAGTACGTGGCCCAATAGAAGCACAGAAAGTGTATACGAGAGGCTGACACGTAGAGGCACTACGTAGCCGCTTGTATCAAACCATGGCTCAGAAGTGCAGACTCAGAGGCAGAACAGAATACAAGGCAGTTAAAATGTGGATAAAGAATAAACATTAATTGTCGTTTCTTTATTTACAGGTAAGATCGCGTATAACATCTATTATTTATAAATAGTGCATTGAGGGACAATAGTTAAATGAAACAATAAATGAAATTTACTTTACTTGCAGAGAAACATATTGTGTTTATGTAATAATGAAATTCAACTTTCTTATATATACACATGTACTTCCATGACAGTAGATGTACTACTCTGCAATACTATTTGTTTGCAAAGATAACTATTATAACTTAATAACATATATGTGTGTATATATTTGTATACATAAATAGATACATGTATACGTACATGTTTATAAAGAGGTAACTTCTGCGGACAATCAAATGTATGTAAGGGTTATTATACGGACAAAAGTGGAAATATGTGGACGTCCGCATAATTCTACCGTGTTATTGATATATACGTTAGAAGCACGTGAAGTCCGTATAAGTTACTATTTATAAACTTGTATAAGTAGTTGTATCTTGTAATAGCTAAAAAATTTTGAAACACTTGATTGTGAACAACAAATTCTCTTAGTAGGCAAATATTGTTTTAATAACTACATTTCTATGTGTATTCTTTTATATATATTTATATATATAAATATATATATATATGTATATATATATATCGATGTGTATATAGATGTAGCCTCGTTATATTTTTATCACCTTATGAATAAAGAAACTTGTAAAGTACAGTAATAAGTATATAATTTTCTTCTACTTCTTTTAATTATCTAACGGTAAGTTCTTATCCATGTACATGTGTGTTTGTACGTGTAAGTAGTATACATACATGCATACACACACGTGCATACAAACATTTAACAGTTTGTTTTTTTTTAATTTTTTTTTTTTTTTGTAGAATACAGCTATATTTTTTTGGATAACGCATGTGATTGTTCTGCATTGCATGTGAAAATTGTGAAAAATTTACTTACAATACCATTATGAAACTTCAATATCAATGCCCTATGTTATTGTACCCATTAAAAATTGTTCACATACATACACATCACCTATCGACTTCGGTTTGTGTTACTAGTATTATTTTTGTATGGTTATCAGTTATCGCAGTCTATAACAATAATATCTTATCTCTTATATACCTTATTTAGTCTAGTTTTTGCTATAATTTTTGACACAACAGTTTATTTATGTGCATTAATAATTATGTCGAAATTAATACAGAGAAATGTACATATGGCTGCAGAATTATTAGTCTTTCTTATTCTTGTTATAATTATTTAAAAAATAGATTAACATACCGTATATTCCGATAATGACTCGTCACTGTTGTCCTCTACTGAGTTATCGGTCCCATAATTCTCCATTAGGACTTTACTACTGTTTCTTGCTGAGAAATTCACTCCTAATACTTCCAATTCCGAATATCATCAGAGCTTTTATTTTATCTGTTAACAACGTGTGATTTTTTTTCGGTATATGTTGAGATAACGAGGGATCAGGATCAAAATTAAATAGCAGCCTGTTGAGTAAATTCGTGTTTGTTGTGATCCTTCAACCATACTGCTAATAATAACTAAAAATATCTGCTATATTTTCTTTTTAATGAACTTTTACAATATCGATTTCATGTTTCGCATAACTTTCGTTAAAAAAGTAATGATGAGTTTCAATGTATTTCGACTATTCAGGAAAATTTCTAAACCTAGCTATACTTATCGCACTATGTACAATATGCATAGGTTTATTAATAGTTAACTTTATGCGAGTGTAGCAGTACTGTCGTTGTACTGTAGTTTATCAAGCTAGTATGATTGCATCGGTACGTGTCTGCTATGTAGAGCAGTCCATACACGTGTATATATTTGACTGGCTTTATGCGTGCGTCTGCCTACTTATGGTCAGTCAGTCTGCTGCGAGCTCTCATTGAGCATGCTACACGTTCTCTCTCGCGCAAGCACCAGAGCTGCCCACCGCCTCACACAACATGACGTCTTTCTCGCTTAGTTGCATCTTTACGTGCTCGCTCGCTTTTCAATTAACATAAGTTCGTTGTGTTAATCACTTGAAATCTATGGTGATGTACATTAATACCAATTTTTATTGAATTATTATGTGTTTATTAAAGGTGAGAGTTTTTATTTCTACATCTAAGGGTGTTATGTGAGAGTTAACTTTCCGAGTTTTATCATATTTCCTCAGCCCCGTCAAGACTCCCCCATTGCCACTTTCACGGTCATACCCATCCGGCTGCACAATTTATACAGTCCACTTGCAAATTCAACATTTGGTCCTTTGAGCCAGATCGCAAGGCTGTGCATGCGTGGCACGTGGTCGCTTGGCCAAATTGGAGCGTCTCTCGCTTGGTTTGACCGTCTGGCAGCCGTTTTAATCGATGCCTAGTCACCGTTGTATTTTTCGTTCTTCTACACCTGGCAGACTTGAGCGTGTTAGGCGCGCTCCATTAAGTATAGTATTGTAACATTTGTTTTAGTTTCTTATTTCTTGACTGCTGCTGTTTGTGCCAGTCGGGCACAGCACACGCTTCAAGGACACGTTTGTTGTCCATACTTATCATGTCACCTTACACGTAGATACCTCCCATAGTTATTAACACACATACATCACTTTCACCAGTGCATTTAAAACACGAGCGTAGTAGATGTTTAAATAGTTGTTTTTTCTACTTTCTGTCCCTGCCATGCCGCGTTACCCAACTCGGCAGAGTGCGATTGCCTTCAAGCACGCATTATATATAGTTATAAAAAGCAAGCAGCTTTCTGTTGGTTTTTTTCTCTCTCGGCTCCACCTACAGTGTATGCAGTGCAGTATCACACGTTTGCTTTGAAGCATGTGGCATCAGTAAAAAGAGTTAGCAAGTAGCGCTCTATTTTTCCTTTCATTCGTTTATTCTTTTTCTCTCTTCAGCTGGCCGCTGCCACAGTGTGTGTTGTGCGTCACTCTGCGTTAACTTTCGAGCTTGCACCTAGTCGTAGAAGAGTAGTCGATAGCTCTTCTTTGTTTCTTTCTCTCTCTTCGACTCGCAGCTGCCACAGTGTGTGCAATACCATACCCTGCGTTCGCCTTCGGGCACGCCTTTGTTATTAATGGAGCAAATAGCTTTGCTTCAAACTAACTTGTTCTTTCATTCACTTTTACTGGTATGCCCCTACTATAGTAACGGCAGTGTGGCTTCGCGCGTTCGCTCACAAGCTTGCAGCAACGTAACGACACAACGCCCTTCTGCCTGATTGGTACAGCGCCTGCCTGCTCAATAGAGTCGGAAAACAAAGAAAGGAGTAGAAGAATCCAACTGCCATCGAAGGGTGACCTTGACCTGCAGAGTCAGCGGGTGCGACAAATACCTACAGTTAGCTCCGAGGCAACCATCTAGTAGCTCGCGATTGAAGGACCGTCCAGCTATCAGTTACCAGTCCAGCTCCATCTTTACAAGATCAAGGAAGTATCATCGACAACTTATAAGTAATTAAAGAAATAAACTGATTGAATTTTAGAGACTTTTATTGAAAATATTTATTGATACTTAGTGCCTACTAGTTAGTATGCGCTGGTGCTGGCAACATAGTAAATTAAATCGGATTATTTGCCTATTATTTTTTCAAATTTTAAAGATGTATAACTTAGTTACTTTATTGGATTTAATACAAACAATTTGTTGAACTGAAGCATATTTGAGTAATAAGAATTAATTGAGCGATTTATAATAATTTATAGTTTGGGTCTGCCATTGGTATGACAGTTGTGCGCGTGACCCTCTCTTCTTGATTGGTAGTGAAATACTAGATTCATAAAGTTCAATTAATTTTTATATGAAACTTCATTCAAGTTCATGCAATATTACTTATTTCGGATAATCAGGGCACCAATTTGATAAAGTTCAATTAATTTTTATAGTAGTTTGTTTTAATTAATATAAATAATAATAGATTTGTTTGTTGACATACAAAATGATCTCTTTAATAAGATTAAAAATTCTTATACAAATTCTAAGAAATCAGGTACGCTTAAAATATCATCAGGTGCAGCTGAAGCTGGGCTTATTTAGTTGCAAGATAGGCTTCTAAGGTTCAAGGATACTCACCAAGAGATCTTAAAAGTGGAAGATTTAGATAAAAAATATGAATATTTTTCCTCCGATCTGTATGAAACAGGTAAGGATGAATACTATAATGGTTTAAGAGAGTTTAAGGACTACATAGCTAAATTAGACTAAGGAGGTATCCAAACAAATCCTGCTTATCCTAGACTATCTCAGGATACCTTAAGTCTTGCCTATCTTTCCCAAATCGATCTCCTGATATTTTCTGGTGCCCATAAGAAATGGAAATATTTTAGAGGCATTTTTTGCGCTTTGATTCATTAAAATCCTGAGTTATCCTTGGTCCTTAAACATCATTATTTGAGATCGCATTTGAAATGTGATGCAGCAGGCCTCATCAAAAACATTGCTTTATCCGGTGAGCAGTATTCTCATGTTTGGGTATATGTAGTCGGTCTTAATGTTCATAAAATTGTAGCGTGACCAATAATTGATTCTTGTTTGCAGAGCTCGCTAATTTCAAAATCTCTGGTTGATATGTTGAGATTAAAAACGAACAGGATAAATGTTTTTCTAACAGGAATTGTCGATGAGGTCATAACAGCAGCTAAGAAAGTGGTTAAATTTACAATAGAGCCTCATTTTGATTTAAAGTTTACTCTACGAGTAAGGGCTCTTGTTGTATCTAAGGTGTCGTCAAATAGTTCTCCTAGTTTCAAATGCCTTACTGCTGATACGCAGTTTCAACATTTAGAATTGGCAGACCCAGGATACTATAGAAACGATCCAGTTAATTTACTGCTGGATGCAGCTACTCACGTTGATTTCATAGATAGTAAGATTATCAAAGGTGAACCAAATCAGCTCGTAGCTTCGCTCTCCTTATTAGGATGGTTGATTTCCGGTCTGGTTTTCAATAAGAACGCAGATCAGACTGGTGAAGTTAGGTCAATTACTTTGCACTCTGTACAAGAACAAAGTTTGACAGAACTTTTACAAAAATTTTAGGAATGTGAAGAAATTCCTCTCTATGACAGGAAATTCACCAAGAACGAGTAAAGCTTGTGAGGATAATTTTGTATACTCCTATAGTAGAAATGAACTTGGTAGATTTGTAGTGAGGTCACCTTTCAAATCTTCTCCACAAGTGCTATTAGAAATTAGTTATAAGGCCTAAAAAATAGCTAAGGGTGCATTTAATAGATTAGAAACTCATTTTAGTTACAATCTCAAACTACCGAACTACAAGAAGAATACAAAAATTTTATGCAAGATAATAAGACTTTAGGTCACACAGTATTACCTTCTGAAAGAAATTTTAGTCATTTATGGATATTACCTCATCATGGAGTGCTTAAGGAGACTAGCTCTACAACCAAACTTGATGTGATTTTGAATGATTCATCCTCGACAAAGGATGGGGTTTCTCTTAATTCTTGTCTCCATGCAGGCCCTAACTTATTGCCTAACTTATTTGATCTTATTCTCAAGAGGAGAAATTATCAGTATGTTCTTACTTCTGATGCAGAAAAAATGTTTTCACAGACAGAAGTCAAGAGTTCAGACCAGAAATTTCAAGCTATACTGTGAAAGGATTCTCTATAAGACCCTCTTTTAGTGTAACATTTCAGCCGTGCCACGGAAAAAAGCCGTAAATGACATATTTATCAAAAATGAGTTATTTATACCGATCGATTCGTCAGAGAATGCCCTATTTAATGGCATTTATAAAAATTGAATATCTTTATTCATTTTTTAATAATCATACATTGAATGGCCATAGAAATTTGCCTTCCCATGGAAAAAAGCCGTAAGTAACAAAAACATTGGAATTCGACTTGTCGTTAACGGGAAAAAAAGCCGTAACAGCACTTACGCTTGATTTACTTGGTATTAGTCAGCGAGAAAGGTTACTGATGTCACACTAATAAAACCTCTTGCACTTACGCTTTTCTTTCCTTGGAGCTAGCGTCAGGCAGATCTCTTTGTACAAGAAAAAAAGCGTAACTACAAAGCAGTAGCAAATTTCATGTGTATATATATATATACGCTGGCTCTGCAGCAGTTCATACGACCGACGAATAGTAACGTCATGATATATAATCATTAGAGTTATAAAATAAAAAGAAATTTGTATATTTTTCAATAAAATTTTTAAAAACTATTTTAAATGAATACTTACTTTTTGTGTAACAGTTCCACCTTCATTTTTATTAGCATTTTTTAAATGTGAAATTGTTTCAAGTTGAAAAATCTTCCAATAATGTTTTTTAACTTTAAAAAAATAAAATTCATAATAATACTGAAATAATGTCATGAAACATTAAAATACCAAGAGAAAAAACCGACTCAAACAATTTCCATTCATAAAGATAGCTCCCTTGTCTACGGCTGTAGTCAAGTAGGAGAGTTTCACTTGTGTATGTGTAGGTATAGACGTACATTAGTGTTGTTATTCTGCTACCATCTGTCATTTACAACCATAAAGCTAATTTTCACGTCTTTCTTGGCAAATATCTTTGGAAAATGCCCCATTACCAGCATTTTACATGACAGGATTGAGAAGAACAGAGATTTTTCTACAAGTTCATCATAAATTTATCTGCTCAGGTTTGTTATTGTGAGTTGGGAAATGCCTGTAAAGCTGATATTTTGATGCTCTGCTTTATAAGCTCGTGTCGAAGGTACAACTTTGAGCTGAAATATCTCGAGATTTTGCTTCACTTAGGGTATAATCAAGGACACCGTTAGATTCAGTAGATCAAAACCTATTGAATGAAACATATTTCATTCCGTAGGTTTTCGCAAGGGAGTTACCTTAAATAAATTAGAAATGCATACATAGTTTTTCACCTATTAAAAACTGTTCTTAAGGTAAACAAGGTATGATATTTTTATTTTCTGTATAATAAAGTTGACTTTCATACAGGAAATATAAAAATTTGTACTTACGGTTTTGATTCTCGCATACTTTTCCTCTAAAAAAAGCAGTAACTGTATTTGTATGTATTCTAATGAGACTTATGGCTTTTTAACGTTGGATCGCGTAACTGTGCTCATTGACTTTACCTGGTAAAAAAAACGTAAGTGCAGTTACGGCTTTTTTTCAAAGAAAAGTGTGTGAGTAAAAAGCCGTAAGTGCAGATCTGTTTTCCCTTTCGGAAAATCATTTTCTCTTGGCGTGCAGTGATTAGATCATGCCCTTATTACCCTAAAAACAGTTTTTTTGCTGTTGAGAAATTCGATTTTCATCATATTTTTTACATAAATAGTTCTTGCCAATTTTCTCAATTTGACACTGGCTGCACTTACGCTTTTCTTCCGTGGCACGGCAGATTTAATAACAATAACTTATGGTTTAGTAAGTTCTCCCTATTTAGCCTCGAGGGTTCTTAAATTGTTGGCAGAGGTTTATAAAAGGGAATATCATTTAGGTAGTAAAATACTTAAAAATGAGGTATACATGGACGATTTTTTATCAAGTGGCAATACTTTAGAGGAAACAAAGAGAAAGGTGAATGAACTCAACAAAATTTCTAGTTTAGGTTGCTTTTCCTTGCGCAAACGGACTTCAAATCGTCCGGATATTTTAGACTCCTTACCTGAATCAGTAAAAGCATATCGTATCGTTGATTTTAGAGACAATGAAGAGTTTGTTACACTGTTAAGTTCGATACGGATTCCTGATTCGGATGAGTTCACATTTAAGATTAGAGAGACTTCAGTGACCCTTTATGGACCAAATGTACTATGCTTTTAAAAGTGGCTAAGTTCTTCGACCCTCTTGGGCTACTATTTCCTGTTTTAATAAAACCAAAAATACATTTACAAGAGCTCTGGACACTCAAATCTTCTTGGGACGAACAATTGCCGACTAGAGTTAATAGTGAATGGTAAAAATGGCTAGATCAAATACATAATTTGAATAAAATTCGAATTCCGCTTTGAAATAACTATTCTCTCGAGGTTTGTCAGTTTAAGATTCATGCGTTTGCAGACGCTTCGAAGCTCGCTTATGCCACGGTAATATGTGTTAGAGTTAAAAAAGGAGATAAGGCATATGTTTCACTACAGTTAACTAAAACTAAGGTTTCCCCTATCAAAACCTTTAGTATTCTATGCCTAGAGTTGTGTGCAGCAAATCTGGTAGCCAAATTGACTGACCATTATCTGAAATCTGCAGGATTTAAGCAACCGGAATTGCATCTGTGGACTGACTCTAAGAACGTTCTCTATTGGCGTCAGGATTTTCCTTCAAGACGCCATACTTTCGTGGAAATAGATGCGCTAATATCCAACTTCTAACACTGTCAGCCCAGTGTTATCAATCCCAGAAGAATCCTGTTGATATAGCTTCGAGAGGAGTATATCCGTCTTAACTTCTTGATCGAATACTTTGGTTCAAAGGATCACCCTTACTTTATAAAACTTACCCTATACATCCCAAACTAGAAGTGTCGTTAGATGAGACCTCTTAGTTAGAGAATAAGTCTGAAGTACAAGTTTTGAAAAATACCTTGATTTAAGTGTAGGATTTGTACTATAAATATTTAAGCCTTAGCAAGTTAACTAGAATTACAGCCTATATATTGTGGCTCACATTTTGTTGCCAAAAGAAATGTTCTGATATCTTTGAAAAATCGTTTAGCAAATTTAATAATCTACAACCAAATACTCAAACTCTTTACACAAGTTTGCGTTAACCTTTTTTAAATCTATATGACACATTTAATAGCGATTCGAATGGGTTTTGAACTTCTGAATTAAATAATGCCAGAGTTTTCTGGATACATGAACATCGGAAATTATACTTCAACTGTGAACTGGATGTTTTAAATAATAACTTAGAATTAGATTCTAAGGACTAAATTGATTTAAAGAGTTCAAGTAGGTTAATACAGTTAAATCCATATTTACATTATGGTTTTTTGAGAGTAGAAGGTCGAAGAGGATCGCCTTATAACACATTTAAACAAAAACATCAGTTAATACTCTGTTCCAACGATCACTTTTCTATCTTGCTTATTGATTACTATCACCTTAAATTTTTACATGCTGGAGCTCAATTGGTTTTGAAGGAAATAAGAGAAAATTATTGGTAACTGCGAGGTCGTCAAATGGTTCGTGATCATATCAATAGACGTGTCACTTGTAAAAGATATGCTGGAAAGACTCAAACTCAGTATATGAGTGACCTCCTAGAATTTAGATTACAACCAGAAACTCCTTTCTTTAAAACTGGAGTACATCTAGTGGATCCCTTTCCTGTTAGACTAGCAAAAACTAGAGGCAGGGGTACTCGAGAGGCGTGTGTTTTTATTTTTGTTTGTATGATTACCAAAACTGTACATCTTGAAATCGTTAAGGATTATTCTTTCGAGGCCTTTTTTGCAGCCTTTCATCGTTTTACTGCTCACCGTGATCGTTGTGCAAAATTGTTTAGTGATAGAGGGACAAACTTCATTGGAGCCGATAAGGAGTTAAAATTGTTAAAGGAATTTCAAAGTTTCACTCAGCTAATCGCTTAACTTTTAGAGCTTGAAACGGATTGGTATTTTAATCCTCTAGTAACGCCCCATTTTGGTGATATGTAGGGGGTGGCGGTAAAATTTATTAAATTCCGTCTCAAAAGAGTGATAAGCGAGCAAGTGCAAATATTTATCGAGTACATGACTCTACTTTGCCGCATAGAAGCGTACCTTATCTCCAGACCTTTAGTACCCCAGAGTGATGACCCACATGATCTCGAGCCATTGACCCCTTCTCATTTTTTGATGATGAAGCCATCTTACACTTTCTAGAATCTCAAGTAGATATTAAAGAATTAACTCCTCTAAAACGTTGGAAACTTGTATCAAATAGCCTACAACCATTTTCGAAACGCTGGTCCTCTAAATACCTCAACTTCTTACAGTGTAGACAAAGGTGGTACGCTAAACAACGTTCTATTCAAAAAGATGATTTAGTGGTAATCAAAAACGACAACTTTCTAACAGGTAAATGGCCCCTAAGTAAGGGTAGTAGACGTATTTCCAGAAAAAAAATCTTTAGTAAGAGTGGCTTGCGTGCGTACAGCTGTTACAACTTTTGACAGACCTATTCACAAACTTGTTCTTTTAATTCCCGCTGAAAATTCAGTTCAGTTTTTTCTGTATTATAAAGCTGTAATTTCGAAGATTTGTAAACGGCAGCAGCCCTCTTTAGTTAATATTTGTAAGACAGCGTTAGCTATAAATTTATTGATGAAAATTGAAATTGGTATTTAAATGAACAATTTGAACATAAGAACCACTTTTGATCTAAGATAAAATTTGTTTTATATATTTACGTAAAATTATAGTTCAAACCATACAATTTGGTTAAAATTGACAGAGTAATCTATAATAGTTCAACCAATCATAATTGATAGTAAATAGTCAAAATTTATACAATAAAAATCAAGTCAAATCACCATAAGTAAAATTTATTTTCTAATAAGAGTTACATCCTTTGTATCAGCCGACTAGCGACTAAACCAACTATTCAAATTTGATGTTTCTCATTTTGTCATTACATCAACATAAGCTTATTTTGTGTTTCAAATAGTTTTT